TTTTATTATTATTCACATGTTCTTGTACGGTAAGAAGGAAGGATGTGGGTTATTACTGATTTGTAGCATAATCTTGTAGGATTGGGGAGGGCTGGGGAAGGGAAGGGAATGAGGGGTTGTTTTTGTAAAAATGAAAAAAAAATCATTATTTTCATTATTTTCATTGTTTGTACTTGGAGGAAAAAAAAAACTTTTTTTTTTGGTTGGAAGTCCTTATTTGGCCTTTTAACAAAATATGTAAAAAGAAAAAACAGAAATAGATTTTTAATATTAATAATTTATTACTATGCGATAAGTCAGGATTATTTTTTGTGTAGTCTTCTGACCCCTGTTATCAGGTGTATCTGATTGTGTACAATAGGATTTTGAGCAAAGTTTTAACCATTAAATTTTACATTAAAAGTCAGACACAAAACATTTCAGAAACCGTATGAATCAAATATGATACGTTTGGCATTACAGGGTTAAGCAGCTTTTTTGTACTTTTTGCTTTCTCAAGCCACTTAACGCTGACCTACGAACCATTCGGGCAGAAAAAAGGCCTCTAACTCAAGGGATGAGCCAGCGTTGTGTCCAATAAGCAGAGCAGCAGTTTAAAGTGGATCTTTAGGCTCTTCAGCCTGTCACAGAGACACAGAATTTGTCCCCGTTTCTTTAGCTGATGTGTGAAAAATGCCAAAGAAAACACAGTTTGACCAATAGGAAACAGGATTTTTTTTTAAGGCAGCAACAGGTTTCTTTGAGACTCCTTAAAGAAAGGACACAGAGCTGGTTGGAAAGATGTCAGCGATGGAGGAGAAAGAAGCTTTTAAGAATAGTTTATTTTTTAACTCATTTATCAATAAATTACTGCACCGACTTCCCTTTTTTAAAGCTCAACTGGGAGAATGTTTGAAGGCAAAGGATACAAAATCCCACTTAAGTGAAGCCTTCATATGAAAAGTCTCTGTAACTGAAAATTTGGCCTGAAAATCAGCGAAAACAGGACGAATGCTCCAGTAAGTGTGATGCAAGCACAATTTTGTAAGCTCCAATTAACTTAAAAGCAACTCTGGTGACATTTATGGGCGTCTTTTTGGGCTGAACCAACTCAGTTTTGGTAGCATTTGTAATGTTGTAGTAAATATCTGCTCATGAACACCTTTCAAGGCTCTTTGTTTAGCTCGGTCATCGGGTAAATTGGGAACAGTTTCTGTTTTTCTGTGTGAGTTCAGAGTGAAAGAACAAAGCTGGGATCCTCCTGAGGAGGCGCTGTGTGCTCAGGCTGCTCACCAAACCAAAACCAAACCAAAACCAAACCGAAACCAAACCGAAACCAAACCAAAACCAAAACCAAAACCAAACCAAAACCAAACCAAAACCAAACCAAAACCAAAGGGCAGATCAGGTCTGAAATCATGCTAAGAACATTTCTGAGCACGATTCAGAGGCTGTAAAGTCAACAAAAAGGTTTGAAATGTAAAGTGAATGGTTGAATATGTGCTATATTTTTTGTTTTTTAAAGAGTTTTAAAGAAGATTCTGCCGGTTGTCAGGTGGCCCTTTGCTACAGGTCAGCCTCTGACCTGCCTGGGCTTTTATTTTCTACTTTCTTTTTCAGTTATTTAGTCACCTTTTCCTCTGAATTTACCGTTTATTTTCAGGAAAACTGGTGTGAGGAGCATGAATCGGGGCGAATGGCCGGCCGAGTGACCTGAAGATGTCCCACCAAGACAGGAGGGTCATCATAGTGGGCTCATAAAGAATATTCTGTTTCCCAAAGAGGTTATCCCTGTGCCTCTGTGAATCAATCTGTGCAGTTAGAAGGGATTAAACTAAGAAACAGCCTGGTTTTTAATGTTTAAAATGAGTACCTTAGGTAAACGATCCGCTTTGAATAAATAATGTGTGTTAATTGACCGTAATAAATGTATTTTTCTAAGCAGAAACTGGTCGTTTTTCAAAGCAACCTCCAGATGTGTGCAGAGTTGGTCTGGTCTGGCTCTTAACCTCCTGAGACCCGAGCTTTTTTTGGCATGCATTTTAGCTTTTTTTTTAAAGATATATGAGATACATA